CTCTAAAATAGTTTGTGACTCTTAGAGTACTATTTCTGTTGTAGTTTCACTGTTAATTTAAAGGAGCTTACCGTGCATGTTTTTGGTCTGTCTTTATAATCATTCTAACCAATTCCCTCTTCCATATATTCTTAACTTTACATATTTTTCTTCAGGCTCAAGAAGAAAGAAAGATATCTTGTTAGCAATTTTGGAGTGGGATGTGTTTCTAGTATCTACAAGCATTCTTTGAAACACCTCTAATCAACCTGTTGCTTATAGATGCGTACTCTCACAGCATCTGTAAACATTTCTTAGTGAAACCTGCACATGATGCACTGGTTTGGCTGAAAATCTGCTTTCACCAGTATTTCAACACAAGGAATCAAGGCTACTTGTCATGAGAGGTTTTATGATTAACCAATAGAACAGCCTTTATGCATAAAAAACATGACAAGACTGTACATTTCATTTATTTGACAGTGTATTAAAGAGTAAGAGAGTAAGAGACTTTTTTTGTAATTACAAGAATAAAGTCATAATGAGAAAAACATTGTAAGGGAATAAAGTCAAAGTAAAATGAGAATAAAATTAGAATTTTAAGAAAACAAAGTCATAATAATACAAAAATAAAATAGCAGTAATGATGCGTGAATATAGTCATACTATTCAAATCAGTATGTTATCAAGTTCTCAATTATCAGTCTTCTCACAGCTCTATCCACAGAACTGCTGTCGATAGGTTTGTGAACTGGTGCAACAACCACAGACTTCATATAAATACCAGGAACACTGTTGAGATGTTGCTGGATCCTAGATTAGTTGGTGAACATAGTTCTGTGACGATACATGACAATGTCATTAAACAGATGACTTCGTACAAATACTTACATGTGCATATTGATAGTGATTTAAGCTGGCAGACACAGCTTGTAACTGTCTGTGTCAGAATTCACCAGCACCTTCATTTTCTACACCGACTCTGTCTATTTGTTGTCTGCAGAAACATAATGTTAATTTTCTACAGTACAATAGAATCCATACTCTGTTACAGTATCACTTGTTGCTTTGTGAACGTAACAGTCAAACCCAAGACTCAGGTTCACAATTTAATAAAGATAGCAGGCAAGATCATGGGTTATACTCCTCTTAATCTACAGCAGCTCTTTTATAAGGCAGTTATTTCTCAAGTAAATAATATTTCAATGGACAGCTCCAAAGTCTTATACACAGAAAACATGCTGCTGAAGTCAGGGAGGAGGTGTGGGGTTCCATTATGTAAATACAACAGGTATAAACACTCATTTATTCCCCTATCAAGGCCATCCATCCATCCATTCATTTTCTTCCGCCTATCCGGGGTCGGGTCGCGGGGGCAGCAGCTTCAGAAGGGAGGCCCAGACCTCCCTCTCCCCAGCCACTTC